ATTTCTTATTAAAAACATATTTTACATCTTAAATAAAAGATAATAAGCATGAGAGATTATATTAATTCAAATTTTATTTTAAATTCTAGATGCAATTCTCATACAGAGGAAAATTTTGTTATTGAAGATATTTCAACTTTAAAAATATACCGTACAAGAGGGAAAATAAACAAGTTATTTTTTTTTATAAAAATTTCTTTATTTACCCTACTAATTTGGATATTACTTTATTGTGAAAATGTAGATGATAATAAAACTTATAAATTTTTTTTTTTATTTTTTACTGTTTTTTTTAAATTAAAATTTTTTTTTTAAATATTTATCGTTTTATTTTTATTTTAGTACAATTACAGATCATGGAATGATAAATACATCCTAAAAAACATATTAGATTTAGGATCTAAAAGATCTTTAGCCGAAGGTAAGGAAGTAATAGAACCAAAAAATGAAGAATTAAAAGTAAGTTCATTGAATATACAAACGAATTTAGAAGAAATTAATACAAAAATTGAAAAAATGGAATTAAAAGAGGAAGAAAAGGATAAAAAGGAAATAATAAAAATAGAAAATGAAAATGTAGTAGAGATAAAAGAAGAAAGAAATAAAAAAGTAAATATTTTAAATCTAATGCAAAAGTGCAAAAGTTTTTTGAGTATATTAAACATGCCTACTATTCTTTTATTACCAATTTTATCAATGGCACTATCTATTACAGCACTTTTTAAAAGTGATGAAGATAATAAATATCTTCACGCGTCCAATATAGTAACTTCTTTATATCTTGTGTTAAATTCAATTCTTTTGTTGTATTTAAAATCAAATAGCAATAATATGTAAAAGCAAATTATGAAAAATTTTTTTTAAAAAAATTGTCCTTTAAAAGAAAATTTCAGGATATGGAAATTAATAATATCTTAAATATTATTATGACTTCAAACATAATGTCATAAATAGGTAAGTTTAATATATTCATTGGATTATATGTCAAAATTAGATTGTTTGTCAGTAAAAATATACTATTTATTGATTCTTCAAAATTTCCTCTTTTAGTTTGTCCGTTATAGTAAGCCCTTAATATATGATGAATTACCTTTTCATATATATATAATGTGTTATTTTTTTATTAATTAAATTAATATTGTAAAATAATTAGAAGAAATATGTTTTTTTAAAAAATTCATTTTTATGTTCTAAAAAAACTTTCTAATATGAAATATACTGTAATATATTTTAACATAAATTTAATGATAAATAATTCATATATGACCTATATCATATAGATAATTATATAGATACTTTAATTCCCATTCTGAAAATATAATAGAAATAGCTAGGTCTAATTGGTGAATTAACTGGTGATTTTATGATGAAAATAATACAAGTATTTTCATACTCTAGTCTTAAATCACATTTTAGTTTTTAATTTTGAAGTTTTAAATTTTATTCTGAATTGAATATGAAAATATATTAATAATTTTTTAGTAAATTTGTATAGATGATTTTTTCTTTTTTTTTTTTTTTTTTGTATAACATTTATTAATTAATATATTTGAATAATAGAAATTTATTACAAATATAATAGATAATTCAATTCCATAAACATTTAAAAAAATAGCTTTTTTTTCATTAATTAATTATATTTAAAAGAAATTAAAATTATCAAAAAGTAACAATAATTACTTCATAACTATAATAATGAATATTTATCCCTGTATGCTTTATTAACTGAGTGCTTGGTGATTTTGCTAGAGTACTGAACAAACAAATTAATAAGTAGCACGTAGAGTTGCTTCTACGATTTTGATGTATTTATATATATTTTTAAATGCTTTGAATGAGTGATCCTTAACTATGTAAACTACTTCATTCAGCATTCTTCGATTTCAATAGGCATTTATTTACTTTAATAAAAATCTTTATTTTTATTAAAAATTTAAATCCTTATTGAATATTGATCATTAATTAAAAGTATATCGCTTGTTTCTTTGTTATGAGTTACATTAAACAATTAATATATATTGCTGTTGAATCAACAAACATAAACAATTATTGACAATACAAAAAATTATATAAATATTAATTACATGAAAATTTTATTGTTATATGTATAAAATATTCTTTTACAAAATTAATTAAATCCTACTTCGTTAAAAAAAAAGAATCTTTCTTTTTTTTTTTTTTTTTATCGTATTCTTATCGGTAACAAATCTTTTTCCAATTGATTTTTTTTTTATCAATTTATTTTTTCCTGATGGTCTTTGTATTTTTTTTTTTTTAAAAAAGTACAAACAAAAAAAATTGATCATTTTTTTTTTTTTTTTGTATGTGCATGAACAACTTCGTATTCTTCATTTAACTAGTTCTTTTATTTTCCAAAAAGGTTAATAAAGCCTTTTATTAACCAATAATTGACTGCATTATCTAACTATTAATTTATTAATGTTACAATTACGAACAATAGTTATAAATAATATTTTTTACTTTATGAACATTACCTTACTTATAGTAATTACGTTAATTTCTACATTTAATGGATTATAATTTGGATAATTTTAATTTTTAAATATACAATACATATATTATTTAAAAGTTTTTAATACAATGAAACAATATGTATAAATGTAAGATAATATTATATTTCACATATTGTTAGTTGGAAAAACTGCATTTATGTATTATATTAAAAAAATATAAATCATAAAAACTCACTTTTATTAAATATACGACTATTTTTTAAAGAAAAATGAGCGTTAAAATATTATGAAGATAGTATTTACGCATATACTTTTTTATTTATGTTATATAAAAGATTCTTACAAATTAAATTAAAAAAATAAATGTTCTTAATAAAATTCTTTATTAATGCTTACAAAGATGTTTTCTAGCACTTAAATATTTTAGAAGAATGTAAAATTTGTAAGGGAGAATTGTTGAACTCTTTTCTGTTATATAAAATATTTGTTAATTGCTCATTTAGTTATCTTGCTAGTATCGAAGAAACAAATTAATAAAAAGCATGTAGGAAAATCTCTATTCATTTAATCTTTATCAGATTATTAACTTTTATTAATTATATTAATTATTGAATGCATGAATTAATTACTATTGTTGTTAGTTTACACTATATCTCATGTATGTCACATTTGATATTACATTCTTAATTTTTTATAAAAAAATGAAATAATAAAATATACAAATATTTTTTTCATAACTTATTCCTTTTTAGAGAAAGTATTTTTTTTTAGATGCATTTATTTTAAGAGCTATTGTGTTTATTAAACGTATTTACTTTTAGTGGTAGTATTTTTTTTTTTAAGATAGAGACTTTCTTTACGCTTTTATGTATGCCTATTTTCCTGGAAATATGACATATACAATTAAAAATGTTTTTTCTATATTTATCTAAATATTATTTAAAATAGGTCGATAATATTATTTATAATCCAATAATTGGGTTACTTAGATTTCATGAGAAAGATAAAGAAAAATAAAAGAATAGCAAAAAAATATTTACAACTAAAATAAAACAAAATAAAAAATAAAATAAATACAATCTCATAATAATTATAAGTTATCGATTATGTATAAAAAGGCTAAAAAAAAAGGCAAATAACTTTCTTTTAACATTTAATTAGAAGGCAATAATAATGCACATGCAAAAGGATATGTTATAATTCTGTTTTATATTTATTTATTGATACATTCTATATCATGATGAAAATATATACCTTGTATTTTCTAGGAAAAAATTCATTATATTTAATTAAAGATATATGTTTTTAGTTAATATAATATATAATATTATTATTAAATTGAAAGTTTATACTTGTGATTATTAGTTACAAAAAAAGTAAATTTATAAATATATATTTTTACAGTATGTTTCATATAAAAAAGAATTTTCTTCACAGTTTTTAGAATAATTAAGAAAGTAAATTTTCCAAAAAATAAATAAACTTTTTTTTGAAACATGCTTTTTACTATATACATATGATTAAATAAATAGTTTTTTTTTTTTTTTTTTAAATTGTAATTTATTTAGAGTGCTTTTTTATATGATATATTATTATAATTTCTTCAAAATAGATATGTGTTCACTTTTACTTTTGAATTTGTGCATTTCATAATTTTTTTTTATTTTGTGAGAAATAATAGAAATAGGAAATTTTTTTAAAAAATAATTATAATGATAAAAAATAAATATGTATATATGTATTATATAAACATGTATTAATAACAAAAAATAAAAAGAAACATAAAGATATAAAAAAAAATAATAGAAAAATAAAAATAGTTACATTTAAAGCAAAAACATGCACAATTAAAAATTAGTTTCATATATAATTAAAAATGACTACAAATATAGTATACTGTATGAAAAATACATGCATAGAAAAATTTTTAATTTATAGTGTTTTTTTTTTTTCTTTTTTTTTTTGATGGAGATGTAATATCTCTAATATATCTAAAATTTTATCTATAAATAACAAATACCATATATAAAATAATTTAAAGTTTTACGTGATTCACAGAAAAAAAACTAATAGTTAAACGAAAAAAAAAATAAAAAAAAATTTATTAACATTAAATATATAACATTTATAATTTAATTTATTTCAAATTAGCATTATATAATTTTTTCATATACTTTAAGGACGAATATAATTTTAATGAAATATTTTTAAAATAACTTTACATATATAAAAATTTTTTTTTTTAACTTATAAATATACGTTTTTATTTATTTTATTTTTTGAAAAATTAATAGTATTAATCTTACATAAAGTAAATGTAATATTATGTATAATTATGAAAAATTGAGAATTATATTTCATATAAACGAATAATTTTTTACCTTAAAAATTTATAAAATTTACAAAGGTCACAATAATACCTAAAGCAATATTACATATCTCTAACTTATCATTAGTAAAGATAGAAGCAATTTTTTAACTGGATTAATATCTCTAACTTTAATATTAACCTATACTAGTATTAAAATGAAAACATTTACTTTATATTTAGAAATTTTTGCATTTCTTCTTTTAATTTGGATATTCCCTTTTTTTTACAACGTAAGATAAACTTCATATAAAAAGAACACATATAAATATATTTTATTTCTAATAATTTAAAAAATTTTACTCAATTTATTACTATAACAATTGAAAAAAAATTTTAAACAATTTTTATTTAATCCCATAGTATGATTCCAGTAAGTCTTTGATTAATAGAGATACATTACAAGCAAAAATTGGGTTAAAGCACGAAAGAATGTTAGCAGAGGCTGATATATCAGAAAAAAAATCATCTTATATTAGAAAACGTGTAGAAGAATATCCATCTGGTGAAATGAATATAGGAAATAATGAATTGATTCATTTAATGGATATGTATTTGAAATGTTATAACGCTAATTCTATGGCAACGTATGTAGAAGTTTTATTTAAAGTAGAAAATGAAATGAGATATAAATGTAGAGATAAAATATTGAATGCTTATCGAAATAATATTTCATATGAAATAGAAATAGAAAAACTATCACTGACTGATTAGTGCCGTATTATAAATGGAAAAATAAAAAAAATGAATTGATAGAATTTCGAATAATCTTTATTTATANAAGTCTTTGATTAATAGAGATACATTACAAGCAAAAATTGGGTTAAAGCACGAAAGAATGTTAGCAGAGGCTGATATATCAGAAAAAAAATCATCTTATATTAGAAAACGTGTAGAAGAATATCCATCTGGTGAAATGAATATAGGAAATAATGAATTGATTCATTTAATGGATATGTATTTGAAATGTTATAACGCTAATTCTATGGCAACGTATGTAGAAGTTTTATTTAAAGTAGAAAATGAAATGAGATATAAATGTAGAGATAAAATATTGAATGCTTATCGAAATAATATTTCATATGAAATAGAAATAGAAAAACTATCACTGACTGATTAGTGCCGTATTATAAATGGAAAAATAAAAAAAATGAATTGATAGAATTTCGAATAATCTTTATTTATATTATAAAAAATTTTTATGTCAGTATAAAGAACAAAAAAAAGTTAAATAAAAAAGAGATAAAAAATTAAAAACTAAAAAAGTGGATAAAAATAGACTTTGTTAATTTTTATTTAAATATAAATTAATATATGAAAAGGAAATACTTAATAAGCCATGCACAACTGCTAGTTAAAAAATATTAATATTTTTCTTTACATTTTTTTATAGAAATATATTTTATTTTCTTTAAAGAAAAAAAATAAAATTATTAAAAATAAAAAATTTTTAGGAAGAAATATTTTAATGAGAATATATTATATTTTTTAGCGTAAAATTTTTGCTGTTAGTGATATTAATGTAATTTAATATTTTTTTTGCCCTTTTTAAGTAAAATGAACTTGAATAAATGAAAATTACTCATTAAAAGTTATAAATGAATATTTTGTACTTAAAAATTAAAATTTAATGAAAATTTATGTTCTTAATAAAAACATAAGATTTTTATTAAAGTAAATAAATTCTCAATAAGCTACATAATTTACATTTTACAGGTTTATAGCAACGAAATTGTATTTAAATTCATTAAATTAGTAGAGAAAGTTCTACATTTTCTATATTAATTTTTCTATTTATTACTTGATTTATTAATTACTAGTTCAATGAATTTAGTAATACTGAAAAAACAAAATAATAAAGAACACATAGAGAAAATTTTACTTACTATATTTTCTATTAATTAATATATAATACAAATTATTCACTTTCATTAATTAATATAATATAATAATTGAGTTATTGGTTTATTAACTGGGTGTTAGATGACTTTGCTAGAGTATTGAACAGACAAATTAATAAAGAGCATGTAGAATTTCCTCTACGGTTTTGATGTATTTATATATATTTTTAAATGCTTTGAATGAGTGATCCTTAATTATGTAATATACTTCATTCAGCGTTCTTTAATTTTAATAGGCATTTATTTACCTTAATAAAAATCTTTGTTTTTCTTGAAAATATATATCCTCATTGAATATTGATTATTAATTGAATGTATATTACTTATTTCTTTTTTATTATTTAGTTTCAGCAAATTTAATATGTTATTGTTGAATTAACAAGACATAAACAATTAGTAAAAATACAAAATTAATTATATGAATATTAATTACATAAAAATTTTTAAATTCTATGTATAAAATTTTCTCTTACAGAAAAAATTAATATCAAAAAACTATTAAAAAAAATTAAAACATAATATATTTATGTAAATATCATTTTTATTTTTAATATCTCATTCTTATTGGTAACAAATCTGTTTCCAACTGATTTTTTTAACCCATTTTTTTCTGGACATTCTTTTTTTTTCTTAAAAAAATATATATTTTTTTTTTTTACGTCTTTTTATTAATAAAAATAAAAACAAAAAAAAATTTATCATTTTTTTTTTTCTTTTTTTTTTTTTTTTTTTTTTTTTTATTTGCGTGTGAATGACCAACTACGTATTCTTCATATATCTAGTCCTTTCCATTTCCAAAAAGGTTAATAAAGCCTTTTATTAACCAATACCTTATTACCTATTTATTATCTAAATAATTAAAAATTCTATAATGTGTATGCANATTATTGTAGTTTACTTGTTTATATCATTAAAATTATATTTAAAATCCATTTAATTACTAGAGAAAACTCCATATTCTTTTTAATAATTTGTTTTTCATTACTCTAGCAAATTCATTCAATGATAATTTAATAAATTAAAAATGTAATTTATGGAAAGTAAATAAATCAAGTAGTAAATGTAGAGGATAAAATAGAAGAAAAAAAGTTGGATGCATAATTATTACCAGCTTAACTACATGTCAAAAAAAAAAAAAAACACAAAGAGGAAAAAAAAAAGTCTTTATTGAGAATTATTAGAATTAATGATTTGTTATGAAAGGAATTATTAGTGTTTTTGAGAAAAAAATTAATAGCTGCATGGAATATAAATAGACATGAAAGTACTAGATAAATGAAAGAAAAAAGATGAATATTGGGAAAAAAATATTCAACCTATTAAAAAATAGAAGAAAACTTAATAAAAAGTTTTTTCGTGGAAAATATTTATCTTTGAATTTTAAAGAGAAAATTTAATATTAACAATAATAAAATTTTCGTGTTTGCAGTATTGTATAACTTATTTAGTGTTTTGTTAATTATATTTGTTAATTCGCGAGAAGTGAATTTAAATTGTTAAATATTAATCATAACATTATAAGTAAAATATATGTAATTTAAAACTATAATTAATAAATATTTAAATTTTTATTAAAAATTAGGGATTTTCTTTAAAATAATTAAAGGCCTCTTAAAAACAATAAATGCTCAATAAAGGAGACCATATACATTTCAATGGTTTATGTATTAAAAACATATTTAAATTCATTTAAATGGTAGAAGAAACTTTACATGCTCGTTGTTAATCCTTTTTTTCAATACTCTAGCAAAGTAATGAATAGGAAATTAATAAAATATTAATTACATTTATTTTACTTATATTATTATTTATATTTAACAATTCAAATTTATTTCTCTCAATTTAACAAGCAAAAATAATTGATAAAATTCAAATTATATTACGTAAGTACTACAAAACACAAAAATTATATTACAGTTAATATAAAATTTTCTTATATAAACTTAAACAAAATACACAACAGTAAGCTTTCTTAGTCAATAACCTTTTCTTCCATTTTTCGACAGCTAAATTTCTTTTAAAAAAAGAAAAAATTTATTTTTTTGTGAATTTAAATTACAAAAATAAAAAAAAACATTAACTAAATTTTTTCCTTTTTTTTTTTATTTAGCAATTTCATGTCGGTTAATAAAATGTATTATTAACCTTTTTGAGAATAAACGGTAATTGTTGTGTATAAATATATAGTTATACATGCAAATTCTAGATGTAAAAAAAAAAAAAAAAAAATTAATTGTTAATTTCATTGTTTTCTTCTTCTAATTTTTAAATACAAAAAAAAAAAATATATTTACTTTTTTTTTGAAAGGATTAATTTTTCAGTTAAAATAATAATTTATTTATTTCTTATTCCATAACTTTGCTATAGTATTGAGCAAACATATTAATAAAGTGATTTATTAACTGGGTGTTCTTTAACTTTGCTAGAATACTTTTTATTAACTGGATGTTCGGTGACTTCACTAGAGTACTGATGAAATAAATTAATAAAGAACATGTAGAGTTACCTCTACGGTTTTAATGTATTTACATATATTTTTAAATGCTTTGAACGAGTGATCCTTAATTATGTAATCTACTTAATTTAGCATTCTTTAATTTCAATAGGCATTTATTTACTTTAATAAAAATCCTTATTTTTATTAAAAATTTAAATCTTTATTGAATATTTATTATTGATTAAATGTAAATTATTTGTTTCTTTGTTATGAGTTATGTTCAGCAATTTATATATATTCCTGTTTAATTAACAAACATAAACAATTAGTAAAAATGTAAATTAATTATATTAATATTTATTATATGCAAATTTTATTGTCATATGTATAAAATTTTCTCTCACATATTAAAAATGTAAATGCTATGCAAATTAAGCTCTTTTATATGTAAATATCTTTTATCTTTTTAAGATCTCGTTTTCATTGGTAACAAATCTTACTCCCGATTTTTATTTTACCATTTTTCCTTCTTTCATTAAATACTTTTGAAAAAAATAAATATATTTTTTTTATGTATTTCCAATTTATTAAAAGAAAAATAAAAAAAAAAGTTATTGAATTTTTTTTTTTTTTTTTTCCCTGTTCGTGACCAACTACGTATTCTTCATTTAGCTAGTCCTTTGTATTATCATAAAGGTTAATAAAGCCTTTTATTAACAAATATTCAAGAATTTAAATTTTATATGAAATATATTGTTCATTTTACTTTATTTAACATAATTATATATAAATAATTAATAATCTATAGAAAACAGTGGACCAAAAATTTAATAACGAACTTTGTGAATCTTAATTAATTTGATAGTTTAATTAACATTATTATATAAATAGCCTATTAATAAAACAAAATCCTAATAAAATGTTAAGAAGTATTAAGCATGACATTGTTGACCTGTCCTATGTACTATTTCGTAAAACTGATAGTTAGATAATCCTCCTACACGAAAAAATAAAATCCAATTTATTTTTCAAATAGATAAGATTCTCTTAAGATACAAGCAAAAAGAGAAATGCATACACATTATAGAATTTTTAATTATTTATATAATAAATAGGTAATAAGGTATTGGTTAATAAAAAGCTTTATTAACCTTTTTGGAAATAGAAAGGACTAGTTATATGAAGAATACGTAGTTGGTCATTCACACGCAAATCAAAAAAAAAAAAAAAAAAAAAAGAAAAAAAAAAATGATAAATTTTTTTTTGTTTTTATTTTTATTAATAAAAAGACGTAAAAAAAAAAAATATATATTTTTTTAAGAAAAAAAAAGAATGTCCAGAAAAAAATGGGTTAAAAAAATCAGTTGGAAAGAGATTTGTTACCAATAAGAATGAGATATTAAAAATAAAAATGATATTTACATAAATATATTATGTTTTAATTTCTTTTAATAGTTTTTTGATATTAATTTTTTCTGTAAGAGAAAATTTTATACATAGAAATTAAAAATTTTTACGTAATTAATATTCGTATAATTAATTTTGTATTTTTACTAATTGTTTATGTCTTGTTAATTCAACAGTAATATATTAAATTTGCTGAAACTAAATAATAACAAAGAAATAAGTAATATATATTCAATTAATAATCAATATTCAATGAGGATATATATTTTCAATAAAAACAAAGATTTTTATTAAGGTAATTTAAATGCCTATTGAAATTAAAGAACGCTGAATGAAGAAGATTACATAATTAAGGATAACTCGTTCAAAGCATT